CCCCCCACCCCCCCCACTCCCCCAGGCCTCTCGAGGCTTACAGGTTACCCCGTTTACTCGAAAATTCGTTTTAAAAAGTTTTTAGAGGGGCAGGATGAAGCCTTGTGCAGGCGCGGAGCTGCACCAGCGCGCAGCTCGGAGCCGAGGCGTGAATTTCGGGTGCCTGCTCCCCTCGCCCTCGCTTCCTGTCCTGCTTTGTTCCACCCGTTGCCAAACCTTTCTTCATGTCCTCTTTACACCTTGCTTTCTTTCTCAGCTTTTCTTTTTCTTTCTTAGCGAGACACCTGGCTACATTCCTCGTACATTATCCCAACTACTGGAATTTTATGGAGACTGTGCAAACTTACAGAAGTCTTCCGCCTTTCCCAGGTTGCAAGGCTAAGAAGAACGGCCCTTGTAAGTGCCCAAGTTGTGCGAGCTGCTGGAGGGTGTGGGCGTGCTGTTTATGGAGCATTCGCGCATAGATTCTCATTTTTCAAATGTTCAAAGGTTTCTTAATTATCAAATACGCCTCTGTTTTCAGTGTCCAGAGCAGTGCAGGCCTTGCAAGTATTGTTTAGCAGCCTCCCTTTAAGCTGTACCTTACAGTCGACCGGAGTCTTTACAGGGTATTAAAATACAATATTCTTGTGCTTTGATCTTGCTGTGTCATGCATGGGGTCTAGAGCATCTCCTGAACACAAGGGGTTTTCCTTCAGCTCCCTGTTCACCTTACCAACAGTGACCTGACTGAACATGCTCCAGCACAGCGACATCGTTGCTGACGAACATTTACTAAAGCCTTCTGGTTGGAAATGCACGCTTGCTATGCTGCAGAAGTCGTTAAAAGTGTTAGCGATGGACAAACAACAACTTTTATAACTGGGCAGAACAAATGATTAACCAAGAGAGCACCTTAAGATGTTTGAAAGTTTATTCGTAGTAGAAATTTCAATTTCTTTTGAAGACTACAAAACCTGCCATGAGACAGGAATACAAGCAATTGATATCTTTCCAGAACTGTTCATAGTTACATCTGGAACAGTTCTAATTACACATTAATAGCATGATTGGAACACTTCCTAGATCAGACTCTGAATAAAACAATCATTTAAAGTATTCGGTACAATTTTTTTTATTTTTTATTTTTTAACTAGCATTTCAGTTCTATGACAGCAGTGCCAAGCATCTACCAGATGCTATCGTAACGGTCTAGAACAAGGTACAATACCACCGATTTCCTGGAACAGTACCTCAGACTCACTTACATGCCATGCTGAGAAAACTAGTATAAAGTACGATTGTATAGAATTGTAGAAAAATATTTTATCTGCGATTTTGTAATTTTTTTTTTTTAAAAACGTTTTAAGTAGACTTCCCCCCTCCCCCACTAGGTTGCAAAATAATTACATCCCTCATAAGTACACCTTCCCTTTGATTAGGTCAAGAGTATCAAGATAAAGCTAATCATTTACATCATTTTCGTAAGTGAAAATTCATCTATTAACCGCTGCTGCTTACTAAGGACCAGCACACTTTGAATCCTTCCCTTCCAATAATAGAAAAGCACAGCTTTAGTTGGTACACCACATTTACAAAAGCAAAACACACACAAAAAAATCCCAGACACGTAAATCTATTTTCTTCTGCCCTTGTCTCTTTAGAAAAAAGTTTTAAATAGTCTCTTGAAAAACCCCTTAGAAGTTTCACTCAACCTTATAGTGATTATGAATAAAGAACTTTGCCCTTACTGGATATAGGCGGCATTTAATGAGTATTGCAACTATGCTCTTCCCTCTGTTCTCTCACGCTTTCGATCACAGTAAGTGGTAATTTCACACACACACACACACAAAAACCAACCCATGGCCTACATATAGAAAATTCACCTGTATCCGCAGTTCTCCTTTTTTATCCTCTAGGACTCTCTATCCTTGAGTCACTTGCTACGCTTTGCGGACCAAGAAGCAGTCCAGCAATGAATTTACACAGCGTGTCACACATACTCACATTCTAATAGGAAGGTGCTGGGATTCAAAGAAGCATTATGTGGATTTCTTTATAGCTTCTAACAACCGTAGCTACAGAAACATAAAAATAAAACGTGAACGTGGATCCAAAACAGGAGGTAAGGTACATAAGCCCCTGCCAGTCTAGCCTGTAAAATACACCTTCTGCGCAGACGGGCCCTTTACACCGTGGTAGCTCTTTATACCTTGGTTTAGAAAGTATCTGAAAAATAGAGTGGATCTGGACTTCAACACATTCAAGTTAGCGTGTGCTAAACTGCCCTGTTTTATTAGCATTTAACATCTTCATCCTGTGCTGCTATGTACATGACATAGTAGCAACATCTGTAAAGTCTGGCCTAAATTAACAGCTTATTTGAGAAAGTATCTACATAAAATGTAGGTGTTAACTTTGCTTCACCATTTCCCTAACAACCAGTGAGCCTGGCGGCCACAAAATATGGCTCAAATAATAAAAAGTACTTTCGGTAATTTTATTTTAACATAGATGTTGCCAACAGTGAAGCAGCTTAACACTTCCTCCTTTTGGTCTGTTCTTTGCCAGGTACATATATATATATATGTATACACACACACACACACGCGCGCGCGCTGAGAACACATGAGAAATTCCTTCCTGAACCGAAATGCTATTATTGACACCCTAGCAAGTACTGACATCCCTTTATTTCAACAGCATCAGTTTTAAATCTTGTTTGTTGACTAGCTACGACAATCTTCAGTTTGACGCATTTAAAAGCCACCCCA